CAGTCCATGTCAGGAAGATTCATACCAGCCTTGCATCTGTGTTTTTTCCTTTTGCATTGCTCTCTCTCTGCTGTATTTCTACTTTTGGTCACATACCCATAATAGACAAAAGAAGGCAAAGCAGTGGACTGCTTCTGAAAAGTGAGGGGGAAGATGGTCTAAAATGTCACTGGTGCCCATATCACCATAATAAGCCCAGACTGTACATTTCTTAGGGCAGGGACAGCCTTCACTTTTCCTTTGGTTTGCTTTTCAGGTACTAAAGGAAATAAAAAGATGACCTCAGTAATGCACCAGTATCATAAACACACAAACACTTTAAAAAGACCTTTGAATAAAAAAATTTACTGCTTTGATGTATACAGATGGAGAAGCATAAGTGCACAACCAAACATGTAACCAGGAGTCTGTCACATAACACTCATGATATGGTGTTACCATCTCCCTGGCTGTGAAGGATTTTAAGCTGAGGACACACCTGTTTCTTAAGTCTCATCAATGTGTGTTGGTCCATCTTGCTGAACAAGGCAGCTTTGCCCCTGATTGTGTTAAATGGTAGGAGGGGTAATGAGCGAAGGAACATTCCCTGTCCAGGCACTATTCTACAACGACTTTATCTGAACAACAAAATGAAGAAATTGCTTCAGTCTGATCAGAAGAATGGCCAAAGACATTTCAAAAAGCATCTGACATTACTTTACAGTTATTAGTGATAGCAGTAATTTCCTTATCCCAGTTTGCTCCAGCTGAAGGCTTTGGGACTGTTTTACGCAGAAGATAATGTTATTTCCAAGTCTCCTGAGGTAAATTTCTTCAGTGTTCACTGTGAAGTTAGGGAGCGTCAGCTGCCTGCCCTGGAGGAATACTGAAGCCCTGCCCCACCTGCATCCTTCCAGAGATAAGTATACAGGTACATTCTGATCCTGAAATACTTGCCCCCAGGCTCAAACTGGCTTATTGTCACAGAAGTAGGTTTTAAGTGTCCTTTGTCAATCACTATTATGTGATTGAGTTTGCCAGCTCAATAAATTTTCCAAGATTGAAAGCTGCAATATGAATAGCCAGTGCCTGGCTTCCAGCCCACTCTTCATCTACCCATCCCCAGCACTAGACTCAAGTTGATTCACAGACTGTAAGATAAAAGCATGTGGACTGCAATGGGCCCACTCCTTTTCATTACACCCAGAAATTCCACTGATCTGATTCCACTTTTCTAAAGAAAGAAAGAAATTTGTGAAATCCTACCATTAGGCAGTGACATGTCCATGCAGGCCTTCAGAGCAACAGTGTCACTGTGAAAATGACAAATTTCTTAAAATAAAAAAAACAAATTGGAGCACATAAAGAAAACAAGCAAATTCTTCTTTCCATTTTTTTAAATTTAAAATTATGGCAATAAGCACTACTCTTTGTAGCAGGATGCAAATATTACTCTTTGTCAAGTCCTATGGAAATTATGAAATATCTCATAATATAAGGCATTATGATTTATTATAATTACATTACATAAGGCATTATAATTATTATAATTACAGCCCTAGAGTAAAACAAAACTATGGCCAAGATGTGCAGCTCTGGCTTAGTTTTGTGTATTTATAGAGCTGTTAAACAGCATTCTGGTATTTAACAACTCTGCAAATATACAAACCTGGTGGTTTTTAAAAAGGAAATGTCTTCATGAAATTGAAAATTCTGTTTCCTAAGCAGGTTTTTTTCTGTGATCTCAGATTTAGTAATCCCAGGATTTTTTTTTTATTATATTGGCATACTGTGGTGGTTCCTTATGCAAACAGCAAAAGCCATTCAGTTTCTCTGTGCTTAAAATGCTGTTACCAGGAAAACTATTTTGGTATGAAGGGTTTTCTTTTTATTGCTTGTGAACCTAATTACTGAGTAATTACAGTTATATTAATTCAGAAATTTAATGCCACTTATTTTACTTTCCAATGGGAGTGATTATAATGGCAATAGGATCATTGCTGCAAAGACTTTCAAACCACTTTAGATTTCTTTTAACAGTCCATTACAGTGTACAATCATAAAGCACAGTGTGATTCTCTTGAGAATGAATGAGGGATAATGAAAACAAACAAATATGATTCTATGCACAAATTATTTTAATTAAAAAAAAATAAAAATTGTGCTGTCTGCACATTCAAGCAAATGCTGAAAGTGCCCAACTCAGCTGAAAATGTTGTCTCCCCACCCACAAAACAAGAACTGGCAGAGGAACATAAGCACTGCAAATACCCAGGAGTCAAGTGGAAATCTGATCACAGGAAAATTCACTTAGACTGGAAAACTGGTTTTTGATACTGGAAACAATGCAGTTGGGGTAGCAGTGTGGGACCTTGGGGAAGCCAAGTGTGAGTTAAACAAATGATGACTATTTAAAACCTCTCCCTGGGGCCTTTGCGTTTGAGGGAGGGTGTGAAATACACACAGAGCTTAGCTCACTATCCATTAAGGCCTGGATCCACCTTTACTGCTGGAATACTTGGTCTTACAGCTCCTGTACTTTCTGTCCTTTCTCCGTGGAGTAGGAATCATGGCTCTGTGTTAAGCGTGTAGGCTCCTGTGTATTGTTCCCAGGATTGAGAGAGGAATTGCGTTTAGCTCTCACCTCAACAAAAAGAAATTCAAACTCCTGACTTTCAGAAGAGTGTTATAACTATGACAGAGCAGGAAGAAAACATTAAAGATAATCTGGGCAACTGAGGAAGGGAAAACTGATTGGGTACTCAGTCAGGAAAGGAGGAATACCAGCCATTTTCTTGTGTCTTTTCTTGAGTACTTTATGGATCTTCTATCTGGTATGACTGTATAAATAGGCAAAAGAAGGGAGAATACACCCTTGCCACGTATTTCTGTAGCTTCCCAAAGGTAGAGGAGCCTAGGTGAGGGCACCAGCCACCAGGTTCAAGTTTCTCTCACTTTCTCTGCCCTGTGAAGCCCTAATCATCCTCTAAAACACAGAGCAGCTCAGTAGGAAAAACTTAGGCCTGCCTTAAATGCACATGAGGAACCTCCCGTGGTTTCTTCCACACTAAAATAACCTGTTTCAAAGTGAAAGCGTCTGTCTGCTTCAGATTTTTCTCTCCTAACCCCAAAGATTTCATAACCTACAGGCAAGCTGCAGTGTGCAAGCATCCTCCCAGCAACAAGATTCAATCCAAAGTCTCTGACATTTTCAGAGGACATTTTACCTTACAAGAGGACTAGTCAGCAGCAGAGAACATGTGCTCCTGCCATGAGGATACTGCAGAAAGATGGCCTTGTTACATTTCTGTAATATGTAAATGCTGTGACTTGGAGCCTTTACAGGGTAAGGAGTTCCCTTTAACACTTGACAGAGATTGAGAACAGAGGGGTAAAGGGAACAGAGAGACAGAAAAGCTTGGTGTGAGTTTCTATCACTGAGCAAAAGGAATTTATAGGATGGGCCTGACTCCACTGATGAGTTATGCGTCATGGCATTCTAACATAGCTATGGAAAATGGGTCAGTATTATTCTATTTTTGTAAGAACTGAATGAGACAACATTGCTCAGCTCAGGGTGCAGTGTCATTCTAGCTCATGCTGCAGCCTTCAGTGATGAGTTAAGGGAGCTTATAGTGATTCCTAGAAGAAGAGGGGGAAAAAAAATCACTTGGCATTGGAACATATTCAGTGTTCATTTTGGAAGGTCCTCTGGTTAGAGATCTCCATGGCTGCCAATTTTTTTTTTCTGAATCTGTTGTGTGAAGAAAAAAGCTGAGGTCACTCAAAGTGGGGGTGAATAGTCCAACACAGCTGCTCATCAGTGAGTGTGTGGGCCACATGCACTGGGGAGAGCCAAGTGAGGGAAAAACCTGCAGCAAGAGCATCCCTGGATGACACTAGTGCTGTGCTGGTGCCTCCCAGACAGGCAGTCAAGGTCCTGGGAGCTGAGCATGCTTTGAGGCTGTAAGGTCTGCAGCTGGACTCTCCTCAGCCAGGCTAATGCACTGTGAGTGGGAAGCAGACGAAGGAGGTTGCAGTATTCACTTTGCAGCAGCTCACTGCCCTGGGAGGAAAGCTGACTCCCAGCTGCCACTGGAGTACTTTGCACAGTAGCATTTTTTCAGCAGCTGCTGAGTACTTATGTTTCCCAAACTGTTGCGTATTTTCCCTTTCTTCCTCAAAAACACTTCATAGGGCCAAGAGGCCAATCATCCTCATAAAACAGAATCTAAATGTGTTTTAGTTTTGTGAATGGGCTTCTGAGCAGCTGGTGTCAAAGGAAACCCCTAGAAGTCAGTTAGTTTCTATTACACTTCTCTTGCTTCCCTCAGGCAGAAGGGGCAGCTCCACAGAGACCAACCTTGCCTTGGGGGAAAGAGGTGAGCACGGCCAGGCTTAGCCTGAAGCCCACTCCTCAAAATGAGATGTTGGCAGGTGTCACTCAAAGAGAGAAGTGGACATTTTTGGGAGCACAGGTGTCAAACACCAGGCTCCAGGGAATACTAGGAGTGGAAGGTGTCCCTGCCCATGGCAGAGGGGTTGAAACTGGGATGGTCTTTAAGATCCCTTCTGACCCGAACCATTCCGTGGTCATTTTCTGAGTCAGCGAGCTGCGTGCTACCCACTGAAATTCCTTCTTCCCCTAACCTGTGCGGCTTTCACTCCACATTAAATTGATTTAATTTCAGTTTTTCAATTAGTAGAGCTGATAACTCCCTTCTGTAAGAGCAACACGACAGCTTCTGTCGACAGAAATGTAACAGAAACTCCCTCCTGGACTTGCGCCCCATGAACCAGAAACTCCCTTCGCAGCATCACCCAGCACCCCAAACCCCTTTCCGGCAGCCGCGACCCCACCAGAGCACAGCAGAGGCGGCCACCGCGTCTAAAAACCCCCTTTCCTAACAGGGGCTTGGAGTTTCCAGAGGAAGCTGGTAAGTCCGACTCACAGAGAACCTCCTCCCGCCGAGAGCGGGGCGGGGCCGCAGGGCAGGACGAACCGCCCGTAGCAAGGCCGGCGTGAGCGGGTTTCGCTGTGACTTCCGATGGGGCGGGCGGCGATGAGGCTTCTGGCATGGCTCCTGTGCTTCGCGTCCCTCTTGGGTAAGCCGTGAGGGGCACGGTGGGGACTGGGTA